GCTGCATTGCAATAAGATCGTGCGCCTGTATGCAAGTCGCCAGCCAGGACGCCAGCACACGCAAGGATAAAGGAACCCACGCGACGACGACGCCATGAGCCCTTCACAGCTCGCTTCAACAAACGGGAGGAATAGGCTCGGCAATGCAAGGCATGCGACACGACCAAGCCTATTGCACGTGTCAAGCGGCGTCGTTGACAAGGGAGCGTGCCAGCACACATGGACAGCGTCTGATTGGTTTAGAACGGACCAATTGCGTGCGGCCAAGCCACGCTCCCGCCCTCCGAACCGCTCGTTCCGGACGGTATGTTGAGGCTTCCAGGGAAACGACGCGTGCAATTGGCTGCAGGCAGCCATCCTCTCGCCGGAGAAGGGTTTCGATCGGAACAGTCCGGCATCAATAGACAGGGGCCTCTGCGATATCAGGTCGCTGACTCATGCCACCGCGGCTTCCTCCAAGAGCAAGTGCCATCGTTTCCGAGACCCGCGCTCGGTGGCTAGTAGATGCATGCACAGAGTAGGTTACCTTGCCAAATGCCTCAACAAATCTCGGCCACCGAGTCCTTTCTGGCTTTTCTAGGGCTTTTCCCATCAGATCCGGAATAAAACGCACCTGTGTACGTTTATTGGTGTTTAAACGTGTTGAGCAGCTTCCGCGGCTTCCTCGGTCTCGGATGAAGGTGTGCGCGCAAGGCGAAGATTACGAGGGTGGGAAATGCATGAAACAAAGTCTTTTGAGACTCCTAACCTACTCGTTCTACCGACACGCGTCGGACGGTAACGGTGCGAGCCCAGGTCACGGTGCATCATCGACACCTTGTGCCATCGCGAGCCCGTCATCGACACGGGATCTATGATACAAGAGCTCGCTCATTTGTACGCTCGTTACTAGCAGCGTAAGAAGGGTGCAGTCTCCCAACGGCGTCGTTGCCCGAAACGGACTCTCCGCCCTGCTAGTACTACCGGTAGTACAGCATTATGTTCACCGTTCGATCGAGGCTACCATGATGTTAGCTCCAGATATCTCTTCTCTGCGTCACCGTCCCTTGAACTTGAAGGCTCTTGAAGCGAGCGTGCACGACGCCGCTCCACCTCCGCCGGTACTGCGTTAAACCCTTTCTTTGACGCGTGTTTAAACACCGAATCTGGTCCACGCTGGACGCTTGCCCATCAAACTCCTGGTTGAAGTTGGCACTTTTCGATTGGTTACAAGCATGTCGGAGCGACTCGCGATACTGCCTAGCGCCCCCGCGCCCCGCCGCCACGGCTTCTTTGCGGGCTTGCTGGCGGGTGCCGTCGGTGTCTTCTGCGCCGGCCTCGTCCTCTTTCAGGCTACGCCCCGCGTCGACGTCGAGGTGATGACAACAACGCTCTCGAGCTCGCCGTCGCTTTCGACGCTCGCTGGCGTCTCGGTTGCCGACCTCGCGCTTATCAACGCTCCGCTGGACGCCGCAAGCAATCTCACAGAGGAAGCGTGGATCAGGTACTGATTCTTATTCTCATTTTCTGCCAACGAATCCGGGGTAGCGCTCGCATTGCCCGCTGGATCGTACATGCCAACACGTGGGGCACGATCGCCACGACAAGCGTGCACCTCGACGGCGCGCCGTTCGCCAGCATGATCTCGTACAGCGGTGCGCCTCCATTCATTTGATTTATTTTTCATGATTTTACCGGCCGATCGTGCTAGATGGCGTCGGTGCGTCGCCTAGCAACGCGACGGGTCGCCTCTACTTTTACTCGAGCACCATGGGCTCGACAGGTGCGTTTTTGCATGGGTTTTACACTGAAATAATGGGGTGACGCAGGCAAGGATTTGGCCGCCAACCCGCGTGCGTCGGTCTCGATCACGATGGCCCAGCTCGGCCACTGCACGTACGATCCTCAGGTATCGGATCTCGATCCAAGACAAGGGCGTTCTCAAGGGGACCGTAGGACCCGACGTGCTGGCGCGTGGTTTTTTCGGGGACCCTAACCCCCGCGGTCGCGGTGGACGATGCGCTCGCGGCGCTATTCTCAAAGTACTAGTCACCGCCTTGTGTAAGCACGCCTTATTCCTGCGATAGGCACCCGCAGATGAGCTACTGGCCGCGCGGCCACGAGTTTACCGCGTACGTCGTCTTGTATGCCTTCAAAAAGGGGCTAAAAGTCGTGTCATTAGGTACGAAATGCACCCGACCGAGATTTTGCTGTTGGATTTTTACGGCGGCGCCAAGCACATCGATCCCGCCACGTACTACAGCGTGCGCTTCTAAGCCGTCGGGTCTCTCGCCGCGCGCCGCGGTGGTTGATTTGTTTTGAGGAAAGCAACACGACTCTCTTCAGTTACCACCAACACGACGCTGTCTGTCTGCCGTGAACCGAGTGGCACGCTCGTCCACGCACCCTCGAGGCGTGATAGGCTCCGAGTCGCAGATGATGCGCTCAAAACGCAAGTTGTGCGTTGCAGTGTGATCTGGCTTGCGTCTCTGCGCCTATCAGTTTTTAGGCCTGGACATAAGAACTGGACGTAAGGTATAAATTGCCATCGGTGGCGTCAGCAGAACCTACGCGACCGTACTGGCGCACTGTAGATATTCATTCATCTCGCACTCCCAGGCGTATCTGACCACCGCTGCGGTGCACTTGCCAGTTTGCAGTTTCCAGTTTGCAGTTTGCCAAGTTGCAATAATGGTGGGCACGGCGCGCCCGTCACCGTACTCGGACGACCGGCTTTCGTTTGTGAGCTCGGTCCACAGCAGCGCGCGCCATCTGCTGCACGACAGCTTTGAGCCCGTCAAGACGCCCCTGGACGCCGACCTCGAAGGCGGCGCGCTCCGCGACGGTGGCGCGCCTTCGATCACATCGCCCGAGATCCTCGCGCTCCTCTTCCAGTATGCGTGCATTGGCATCGTGGACGGCGGCATCTATGGCATGACGT